CCAGTACCCAAAAAACAAAAAAAACAAAACAAATGAGAGATTGGACCAAGGTGAAAAGATGGTAGACAAAGAGAGCCAAGAAGAAGATGTAACTCAAGAACCAAAGAGACTCAACACATAGGAAATGGCAAGAAGATCTTCTTTACTTGAAGAGGCACTGTTAGTTTTGAGGCACAGGGTCGAGCTCAGAACAATACACAAAGGTTGCATCAGCCATTCAGACTGCCATCCAGTGCTACAGAGTCATCTATGATCAGAAAAAAAGAGCTACTACTCAGACATCACTAGATCATTTTTCAAGAGAGGGTAGAACCTAAATCGAATCCATCAAAAAGCCCATCATCGGGCTGGGGATTTAGCTCAGTGGCACCACACCAGCCTTGCTAGCGCAAAGTCCTGAGTTCAATGCCTGGTACCAAAAAAAAAACCAAAACATCATCAACATCAGGTGTGGGCCAAATTCCACCTCCCCTCCATCTCCTGCTGCTGGAGATCTTTCAGCTCCTCCCTCCCTCCTCCAGTGAGTGACTCTCTTTTTGTCAGTTCACTCCATGCAATCCCCTATATGCCAGTTGTACTGTATGGTGCCAGCATTTTGAGGCAACTGTGAGTAGAAATAGTTTATTCACAATATTTTCGTGTTTGGTTTTTTAATGCTTTACATTGTGTATTCATGTCAAAAGTGTATAAGACTCACTTTGTTGGGCTTCTGAACGTTCTCCCAGAATGGAACTCATTCATAAGTTGGGGATTTGCTGCACATGGACCCTTTCCATTCCTATCTTGTTGCACTTTCAACTGTTTTCCATAGAGTACATTCCCTCCTGCCATGGTTTACCACTCCCTGCTCCCTGATCCTGGGAAACCACCCTGCTCTTTGTCCTCACCTCGCTGGCACCTCTTTATCAGCTTTCTTGGCAGGCACCTTCTTATCTTCACAACTACAACTTCTTTTTTTTTTTTGTACCAGGGATTGAACTTGGGACCTTGCGCTCAGGAAGCAGGTGGCGGCACCACTGAGCTAAATCCCCCACCCTCTTCACAACTTCTAAGTGCTGGGGTTCCTATCCTTGGCCTGAGGCTCTCTCTACACCTCTCTGGAAATTGTTGGGAATCATAGATTTAACTCCATCCATATACTGACAACTTCAAGAGCACAGCTGTCTCTGGGGATCTATAGGTGCGTTGGTCTGGGACCCCTCTCTCCAGGACACCAAAACCTCACATCCCGGATGTAAAATGACACACTATTTTCGTATAACCTATGGAAATCCTCCCGTACTTTAAGTCATTTCTAGATTACAATACCTAATATAAAGTAAACGCTATGGAAGTCATTCTGACACTGGGCTGTTTAGGAAATAATGACAAGAAAAAGGTCTGTACATGTCCAGTATACAGACAAGCTTTTCCTAAATATTTGAAGTCTACAGTTGGCTGAATGCACATACATAGAACCCAAAAATATGAAGGGCCAACTGTATACCTCCAACCCAGAATGTCTCCAGGTGCAAGCCTATATTTCCAACTGCCTGCTTAAGCGATCCGCTGAAATATCTCAAAGGCATTTCAAGTACAAATACCATGTCAGTTTCCCCTCCCACCCTATATAAAATAGTGTCTAGCCACACAATTCCTCAAGCTTGAGAATCATCTTCAACATCTCTATGTCCCTCCCCCCTCCTTCTGGCATGGGGAAGTAACTCCCCACCTGTACCATTAATGTCCCACGTCAGATGTGCTCATACCGAAGAATGGAGGCCAGGACAAAGGACATTAAGAGCAAGAAAGGTTTACTGAGAGAAAGCTCCTGAGAGACAGGAAGGGTCTTCTCACTGAGGCTTTGTCCAAAGCTATGGCGTACAGCAAGATCACAGTGTTGGTGCAACTTGGATAGCTATGGGTCAAACTACCTGTAAGATTATTAGTCGCTTAGCTAATATTGATCCAACAGAAAAGCAAGGCACATAGCAAGGGTATATGGTGAGCATCACTAACCTGATCTTATCTATAACTTCTAAGGTAGAAAGAAGAAGGGCAGCCAGGTGTGGTGGTAAACCCAGGGCTGCAACCCCAGCACTCAGGAGGCTGAGTGCTCCTGAGGGTAGCAGCAGGATTGCCATGAGTTTGAGGCCAGCCTAGGCTGCATAGTGAGTTCAAGGCCAGCCTGAACTACACAGTGCAACCTGCCCCCCGCCTCAAAAAAAAAAAAAAAAAGAAACAACAAAGGCACAGCTGGAAAGGATGGGAGTATGGGTCAGGGTATTCTGGTCCCCTATCTATGCACCTCTCTGGGCCCACTGGACCAGGTGGTACTGATTACAGTACAATCTCAGGCTGCTGTTTATTTCTAGAGAGGCTCACAGGTCTGGCTATGGCATCTCCATTGTGAGGCCTGGCCCTCTTCAAGTTTACCTCCAGTCACAATTTTTGGGTTTGTTTTGTTTTGTTTTTTAAAACAGGGTCTTGCTTTGTCGTTCAGGCTGGATTTGGATTCATTATGTAGCCCAGACTGGCCTCCAACTCATGGTGATCCTCCTGCTTCAGCCTCCTGAGTGCTAGGATTACAGGCGTGCACCACCACACACAGCCTCCAGCCACAATTTTGCTATCTCATCCTCTGCACTAACTCCTTTGAGGGCCCAATCTCTCGATGACTGCCTACTAATTTTTATCTAATTCAGCTGTCTCTAATAACTTCCACTCCATCCAATCTGGTCTTGAGACTCTATTCCCAAAGCTGCTGTCCATGTGTCTGCTTCTCCATTTCCTCCACCACCACCATCATCATCATGGCTCAGCCACCACCATTTCTCCCTTTTGTGTTTTTGTTTTTGAGACAAGGTTTCACTATGTAGTTCAGGCTGGCCTTGATCTCACTATGTAGCTCAGGCTGGCCTTGAACTCACGGGGATCCTTCTGCCTCAGCCTCCTGAGTACTGGGACTACAGGGGTGTGCCACCACCCCTGGCTTCCATTTCTCATTTTGTTACAGTTGAATGGGCAAAAAATAATCCAGGTTCTTGTCTACACAATGAAAGAACTGCCAAGTGTACACCTCATAGTAAGTAGCTATGTTTGCCGAACATCACGGGATGATGGCAGCAAGAACTGGCAGAAGGGCAAGTGGAAAAGGAGGAAGGGCAACTTGCGGTTGTAGGCGAAGCTGCTGCTGGAGGCGGTAGAGAAGTTCTCAGCAGGGCTGGGGATTTGGCTCAGTGGTGCCACCGCCTGCCTTGAGAAGTTCTCAGCGAAGGAGCTGGTGGTGGTGTTGACAGTGTGCAAGGGGGCACACTCAGGTCAGGGCTGGCCTCCCATCCATCTTTCACTGGAGTTGGAACTGATGATCTGCCCCCTCAGGCATCACGGCTTCCCAAGCTTAAACGTGGATAATCACCAGGGCGGTTGCCATGCCCACAGGTGAGTGAAGGGCCAGCAGTGGCTCACTCAGCTCCTCCGTTTCTTACTGTATCAACCTGAACCATGGCCAGCCTCCTAATGTCTTCAGTCCAGGCTCTATGATATAGTCAAAGTAAACTTTGAAAAATACATATCCAGATATAAATCATAATGGTGTGCTCTACCATTGAGTACATCTCCCATCCCTCTTTCTTTCTTTCTTTCTTTTTTTAGTTAGCATCTCAGTAAGTTGAACAGGCTTGCCTTGAATTTGAGATCCTCCTGCCTCAGCCTCCCAAGTAGCTGGGATTACAGGTGCACACTTGTACTTTTCCTTCAGTTTTATTGGTAAATATACATTAATTTGATGATTTACTGTTTCCTCAACTGTAAATTCTAGGAGGGAAGAGCCAAGGTCAGTTCTGATATTTGCTCCCTCATCCACACCCACCCACTTAGAAGTGTCCAGCAGGTGCTCAGTAAATATTTTTTTTTAATTTTCATTTTATTTATTCTCTTTTTTTTTTTTGAAGCCAGATGTTTTTCTTTGTTTGTTTGTTGTTGTTGTTGTTGTTTGGGTTTTTTTGGTACCCGGGATTGAACTCAGGACTTTGCACTTGTGAGGCAGGCGGTGGAACCACTTGCTCAGTAAATATTTGATAGAAGAAATGAATACAAGGGTGCATTAAATGATGGAGAACTCTGCCCTATTTTTAGGATAGTCTTGAATCTTTACCTACATCAGGACAAGCAGGTAAGTGCCTTAGTTCAACTCATACGCCTTTTTCAAGCTTCCCCGCCACCCTCTACCTTGTAAATATAATTTTCATCCAAATAACCTGGGCAGGTGGGGAGAGGAAGGGGAAGTTAAAATGATTAAAATCTGATATGTAAACCAGCATAGTGGTAGTCTGTAATCCCACGGAGCCTGAGGCAGGAGTGATCACTGCGAGTTCAAGGCCAGGCTGAACTACATAGGGAGACCCATCTCAAAAAAGGCGGGGGGGGGGGG